ACGCCGTTTCCTTTAGGAAACTACATTCAATTTAACCGCGAAAAAAGATAACGAATTAACATGTAAATGTTAATAACCCTCTCTTAACGCCTCAAAAAATGTAAATATTGTAAAAGCTTATGTAAATATGACATAAGACACTCACTGACGTTATATTAAAAGCACCTCTTCCGTTCAGTAAAAGAGGTGACAACATAATGCAACGTCACTGCCCCCGTTTACCAATAAATTTTGGAGCACTTCATGCTTCCTTCTGCTGACCAGCTTTTTGAAGATGCTGATTTCATTTTCCAGCAGCTAGCTTGCTCTATTATTTTACTATTCTATCTGTTTTCTTTTTATTTATTATATAATAAAAAAATGACTACGTGTACTGCATTGAGCTAACTGAGACATGTTATAGCACTTGTATATCATTGCTCTTTTGTTGATTTTGTTTGCTTCCATTGTCCTCGTTTGTAAGTTGCTTTGGATAAAAGCGTCTGCTAAAAGACTAAATGTAAATGTAAATGGAAGAGAGTTCCAGAGTTTTGGAGCATAGACGAGCGTAGACGAGTTGCGGGAATGGTCAAGAGGCGAGAATCAGATGAACGGAGATCACGCCTAGGAGAGTATACAGTTAAAAGTTCCGATAAATAATGAGGTGCCAAGAATTTTAAAGTCTATACGAAATCTAACAGGGAGCCAGTGTAGGCATTCCAAAATTGGAGTGATGTGCTCTCTAGTTCTGGTCCCTGTCAGGATTCTAGCAGCTGAGTTTTGGTCATACTGCAATTTATTTAGGGTAGTTTTCGAGACCCCTGCAAGCAAAGCATTGCAGTAATGAATGCGGGAGTAAACCAATGTATTTATTAGTTTTTCTGCCACCGTAAAGGACAGCATGGGGCGCAGTCTTGCGATGTTTCTGAGATGAAAGAATTACCTTTTAACCTGTTAACCCACACCTGGACGCCGGTGTTATGGATCAACTGGAGATCGTGTTAACTGGGGACATGCTCGTGCACGCAAATAGTTTTACCTGTGTTTCCAGCAGATGTTAGACCTCCACAGATTCGTCACAGTGAATTTTCAACGGAACAGATTTCAAAGCTTTCTACATTATTTGTGAATGTTTGTATCATTATTGTCGATGTCCCAATGTATCAGTCGCCGTTTAAGGGAAGTTTGCGTTTTCATGTCGCATCTCACAGACCACGCCCAGATTATTTTGCTTAGGCTACATTCGTTTCAATGTTTTTTTTTTCTAATGACAATTGTAAATGCATTAAATAAGGTGTTTACTTTGTTTCTTTGCAACGCGTGTGTAGGCAATTGTTCAAAAATATTCCTTCAATTTGTGTCAATGTAATTTGAGCAGCAATATTGCTGTGGTTAAAGGGACATGTCAAGCATTTCATTTTCTTTTTTTATATTGCTAAAGAATAAGTGATAAACAAGCTATAGTTTTGCATTATGCATATAATTTCGAATTAGTGACACACAAGGTGTTGAAGCAAATTCACACAAAAAAAAAAAAAACTTTTAACAATACATAACTTCAAAGCAGCTTTACATAAAATGCATGTTTCTTTTACTATGAAGAGAAATCTGCTATGTCAGAAATGACTGTCGATGTAATGTCCATATTGCAGAAATGTACAGTTTTATAATAGAGGTCTGTCAAGTCAAGTGAGGTCACCTTTATTTATATAGCGCTTTATACAAAACTGATTGTGTCAAAGCAGCTTCACAGTGTTAAATACGGAAATAGTGTGTCAATAATGCAAACAAAATTAAATTCTGCTGTAAAGCAGCTCTAAAATGAGGACAATAGTCAACAGTCAATTTCTCAGTTAAAGTCAATTCATCATTGATTCAGTGATGCCATCCTCCTGCTCAGTTAGGTTGTGCTTTGCAGGGGATCTGTCTCTAGGTCTCATCTAGTTGTGGTCTCCACTGACATTCAGAGCTGTTGTGGTCATCTCTAGTGCTGATCCACCATCCGGTCTGGGTACAGACTGGATCTGGTTAGTTAACATCATTCAGTTAAGCACAAACATGTTAGGACAATGATTTACATATTGTGATTGCAATGATTACAATATAAGGATAATTTTGCAGTTTTGCATGTTGATTCAGAGTTGGGATCATCTGAAGTTCTTGCAGGGGTTGTCATCTCTTCACAGGTGTTAGGGTCATCTAAAGTCTTCACAAAGGCTGAATCCAAATGTTCGCGAGGTTGTTACCACTGAAATGAAGATAACTGGCACAATTCAAAGTTATATTACATATAAAGAGCCCCACACTCATTATTTATGAAACTGACAGACTTTTCTGTCATATTTTTAGTTCGAGAAGTCTGCAATAAAGTAAATATTGAAAGTTTTCCTATTCTAATTAATGTTTGGGAGAGAGGTATCATATTTGTGTGATATGTCAAATTATTATGAGGTTAGTGATGTATACTGTCTTTTGCAATATTAGCCATATATGTACGAATTCATCATCACAGTATCATGTTCTGCCTATGTCTGTCATGAAAAAGTTGTGGATGCTGAGTGATTGTCACAGGACATTCATGCAAAAGAAAGTATGGAAACTAGAAAAAGAACCTACGAGTCAGTAAGAAAGATCCTACAGCATGGTTCACTTTTAATAAACACTTGTCAAACACTTTGTAACCTTAAAAATGTGAACATGCCATACAAGTGCCATATATCGCTCATACCAATTGTGGAAAAAATGCCTTCCTGTGTTCATCACACCAGAACAGTATTAAAGAGCTTTGAATCCTGCACTGCTCATTACATGTTTTCTATCTGACGAGAGCCCAGTAGGCCTATATGTAAAATGAAAAGCAGGAGTCATGACCTCAGAATTTACTTTAGACAAAGTGTTCTCTACATGTTCAATGAAAGACAACAGATTCACAGCATTTCAATTCAAGCACCTAACTGAGCATAATGTACAATACAATACAGACACACTATTAAGCATATATAAAATTCAGTTAATTTAATTGATTATACAATTATAAGAAACTGAATACAGAATTGTTCTAAACAGAGTTCTAAGCCAATGCAAAATGTTAATTTCAGATCAGTCATAAATCCAGGATGAAACTTTATGTCCAGGGAAGAGGATACAGAGGTAACAGAGCTGGTTGTACAAGCATGATAATAATGATTTTATTATCATCTCAGATAATAAAATCAGCAGAGTAAAATCATGCAAACTCAAGCCAATGTAGCCCATCTGTTTTTTTCTTCTTCACACACACACATATACGTATATACTGTATATATATATATATATATATATATGTATTTGATTAAGAACAATAGTAAACTACAGATCAATAAACAGGCTTGTCAATAAAAACATAAAGGACTTTGCAATTCATTTTTGCTTTAGGTAGCCTACTGCTAATTTTAACTTAATCTATATCTGTTAATTAGAACACATCACAGCACACTACAGACTAGGCATAGGCATGAGATTTTGACAGTATGATAACCTTAAGCAAAAATATCACAGTTTCACGGTATCACGGTATTGTCGTTACAGCTGTGCTATTTTTAAATGACTGGGTAAAAAACAAACCTTTTTTTTCCGCTGAACACAATATATATATATATTTTTTTGGCAACATACAGAATATTAGGAACAGTAGAATTTGTTTATTTTTTCTTTGATTTGTTTCCTAAAAAGGAGAAAAATAAAGACTGACATCTTTATTTAACCTAAATCTGTAATTACAGTTATTTAATTTTAGTTATATAATTCATATACATATAATTTATATCATTTCATATCATTTAGTTATATAATTTCATATACATAATTTGATTTAATAATAACCCAATTTGAAGCAAAAACAGAATGTTCTGTTCTGACTAGCTTTGTGAAATTATACTACATGCCTGAACCAAGCAAACAGCAGAAGCTCTGAATGAGATGCAGATTCACTCTCTGACAGCAGGAGGCGCTTCTCAAACACCAGATACAGTGTTTCCTTGGTTACCACGTAAATAAAGCAGCACTGCGCTGAAACACTGCTATAGTATGATCTATACAGAGACAAGATTAAAAGAAAATACCACGTAAACTTTTCTGAAGACAGTCAGTTCCCCCTTTAGAAACAAATTCATATAAACCCCCAAATCAATATTGAGGATTTTCTTCCAATAGTTCGTGCATCATGAACAGTGAGTGATCTGCCTGCTACAGTATTTTTCTCTGTGCGTCCGTCTTCAGCGTCTCTGGCCTGTGTTAACGGGCGTTTACAGACTTCATATTTTTACATAAATTACATTTTGGAAAACAATTGCATTGCAACGCAGTTTGTGCAAGTACAGAACAGAGACGAGTTGCTTGCAATAAGACAAAAAACGGCCGGTCGCATGAGTTCCAGGGGAAGCCATCCTACACACACGTGACTGACCGCTCGCTCGCGCCAACAGGAGGATGAGGGGTCATGTTACTCTCTACACTGCACTCAACCTGAGGGATTCCTACACTTTCAGTCTTTGAGGAGACATGAAAAACAGCGCATACCGCAGGAACGGTATAACGGAAAATATTAGCGGTTTTGAAACCGTGACATTTTCAAATTGTGGTATACCTTGAAACCGGTAATCGGCCTATGTCTACTACAGACACAAAGTGATACAGTAATATTGAAAAGAAAATACTTACATTTTTACTTCAGTTCGTTGAAGAGTTTGATCATCCACTGAAACGATTGCCCCATGTTAACGTGGGCGTGGTTTGTGAGCATGGCAAACTTCCCTAAGACAGCGTGAAATACGCAGGAACGGACACTGCGGAATCAAAACGCTTTATTATGCATGATACCAATGTATACAACTGATGAAACACGGTTTTTAATCTATGATATTTGGAATATCGCAGTGACGGATCTGTTGCCATCTAACATCTGCTGGAAATTCAGGTAAACATACTTGAATGCAAGCGCACATCCCCAGTTAACACCATCCCCAGTTGATCCATAACACCGGCGCACTGAACGCTCTTTGTTTGCACGTGTCAATGTTTACGAATAGCTGAAATGAAAAGGGACAATATTAATCTTGACAAACTATATATCATTCTAAAGGTCTAAGCCTCAAGCATCGACGATAGATCACTGTTTTTCAATGGAAAGCTTATAAAGAATGTATTTGCTAAATTTTTGTAAGCAGTACACATCAAAACATGAATAATAAAAACGCAGTACGTACCAGATTCATCATAATAACGAGTCATAAACGCATCCACAGCTGTAAATCCCGGTTTAGTTAGAAA